TACAATTTATAATATTTTTCACACATTAAATGGTGAGTCGCCAATCTTAATATGATTTTCATTATACTAGAACGGTTGCAACCGAGATAGGGCAACATCCAATGTCTCCAAATCATAATGATCTTCATAACATTCTATGATGATCTTAAAGTCAAATGACCAATTCTACTTCCGAGCATTCGGGATTAACTATTGATACTAAGATACTTATCTATGGAATTTCTACTGCAAGCAATCAAATGTTAAGTTTTCTAACAAAACATCATGTATTCATTCAAATGTCTCTATATTTTAGATTATGAGATCTGCTACTTTATTCATAAAAGAAATTCAATACGTGCTAGTCTATCAATAGTCAAAATATCTCATTACTGGGATAATTCAAGATTAAGATATACATAAATCGCATCATAATCACCACAACACTTTGTGATTAACAAGTTATTTAAACTTAATTTCCTGACTCTATTATAGTTAATTAATAAATAAGCATAATTAGAATAACATATCTGCCATAATAAATCAATGCATAAACCATATAATGTGTCTACACCTTTTCAACAATTGGACTTAGGGCATATCGCTAACAAGGACGGAGAAACCAAAAAGGAGAAACAGATAATAATGTCCAGTAACATCTAAAAACCCTAACATGAACACCGAGATGGATGCAATAGAAATGGCTGCCTGTGGTCCAATGTTTTAAGTATTACAGCCTCAGCTAGGGTAGTTTGGCATGTATATTTAGGCAGCCCCCCTAAATGCTTGACTTAAATACATTCAGCCTGTTTTTGCAACCCAGCTTTATCANATACATTTAGTAAAATCAATAGTTATAGTTAGATAGCTTGGACCATCAAGCTCATTGTTTAGGATTTGAATTCGGTGATCTCCTGCCTTACATGTGGTACCTTGGCATTACTTGAGGTACCATCACCCTTTAGTCCTTCAAATTCATGAAAATATCTCAATTATTTGACTCATAATAAATAAAGTGGAAAATAATTCATAATAGAACTTACCTAAATGTGTTTGGACAATTAGCCAATGTAGTTTGGACCTGTGACAGTGGCTCGATTGATAGCTTAAGTTTTTAGATCAAGTAGTTTAATAGTTTCTTCCATTGGTAATTTGGTGTTTTCTTGGAGTATTAATTTTACATGGTTGCATATTTCAATATTCTTAGGGAAGTTATTGACTCGGATATAATAAAATTTGGTATCCGAAATTATTATTTTCCACTTGAAATACTTTATTCACATTTATGTTATTTCTTTGGACAGAGGATGATACAAGCATTGCTACGAGGTTAAAGTCCCTATCCTAATAGATTTTCACCGTCACATATATGATCGTGAATGGAAGTTTACATGTGAGTTTCTCTTGTTTCTAAGTTTGTAGTCCGTTTGAGACTTTTTTCGCTTTTTGGGATTTATATGGCAAGAATGCATTTAGGCTTGTTCACTTTCCCTATAATATTCTAGTGATCTTTAATTCTTGTGGTGGGAGGGTTGAAGAGGCTTTGTAACCATTGATATGCCTTTTTGGGCACTAAAATCAGAAGGTAACATTCTGCATTCGAAATCCCTCATATAATTAATTGTTCTCTCAACAATGATTCGATAAAGAGAGAAATGTCGGGAATCTACTTAAGCATGCATGTTGAAATTTAAAGCAAATTTCATTTCCCTTCACTAGATCACCTTTGTATTTAGGTTGCATCAGTGGTAGAAATTATACCTTTTGCCAATTTTCAACTTCTTTATGAATTTGAACTGCAAGGATTGCAATCATTTTGTAGAAATTCTCAGTTTTCTTAATGTCCAATCTCTACTAGAGTCTACAGAGAGAGAATAAGAATGAAGTTCCAATAAACTCAAGGCGGCGGCAACGGGAATAAACTAGGGTTAGGTTTTTACTCTTCTTATGCTAGCAAAATTATAATGTCACTTGTGTTCTAACCCTTAATCAAAATTATGTATTTATATATAATACTTAATCCTAAGTCAGTCAGAAAAGTAGTCCAAATCTACTCTTTAATTGAATTAATCCTCTTTAATTAATGTGTGATTATCAATAAATTGTCCAAATCACTAATTAATTAATTTGCACAAACATCCCACATTTGTCAATTGGTTAATTGCTCAATCTACTCTTCTAGTTTTGCCTTTTAGCGTGACCTCCTTTTCATCGATAATTTATGATTGACATCTAGCAATATGACGGGAAAATTCAGGTGATGAGAAATGTCACGTGGTAGGACAAAAACAATGTGTTCGATTACCGTAGAAATATAATGTCTTTATCAATATAACTTAATTGATAATGAAATATGAAAAATGTGCCAATCTTGATTTAATCAATTATTTATTCTTCGTTCTATTAAATTGATCTAAACGAGTCATACTTGAAACACTTTTCAACTATAACTCTACTTTCGCCAAATGAGTTTCTCTTTCAAATTAAGGAGATGAAAGAAATGTTATAATCACTATCCAAGGTCATGAACCATTAAATGGTGAATCGCCAATCTTAATATGATTTTCATTATACTTGAATGGTTGCAACCGAGATAGGGCAACATCCAATGTCTCCAAATCATAATGATCTTCATAACATTCTACGATGATTTTAGCCCTTGTTTGACATTCATTTTTTTTCTCATTCTCTTTCTCATTTTTTTCTCTTTCTTCATTTAAACCACACATTCTATTTATAAAATAATATTACACATAAACCCAAAAATTCTNATTTTTTTTCTCATTCTCTTTCTCATTTTTTCTCTTTCTTCATTTCAACCACACATTCTATTAATAAAATAATATTACACATAAACCCAAAAATTCTCCTTACTTTTTAACCACACATTCTTCCATCAATCACTATTTCGAATCAAATTCTTTCATAAAATGGGTGTCAAACAAGGGCTTAAAGTCAAATGACCAATTCTACTACCGAGCATTCGGGATTAACTATTGATACTAAGATACTTATCTATGGAATCTCTACTGCAAGCTATCAAATGTTAAGTTTTCTAACAAAATATCACGTATTCATTCAAATGTCTCTATATTTTAGATTATGAGATCTGCTACTTTCTTCATAAAAGAAATTCAACACGTGCTAGTCTATCAATAGTAAAAATATCTCATTACTTACAATATGGGATAATTCAAGATTAAGATATACATAAATTGCATCTCATAATCACCACAACACTTTGTGATTAACAAGTTATTTAAACTTGATTTTCTGACTCTATTATAGTTAATTAATAAATAAGCATAATTAGAATAACATATCTACCATAATAAATAAATGCATAAACCATATAATGTGTTTACACCTTTTCAACAATTGGACCTAGGGCATATCGCTAACAAGGACGGAGAAACCAAAAAGGAGAAACAGATAATAATGTCCAGTAACATCTAAAAACCCTAACATGAACACCGAGATGGATGCAGTAGAAATGGCTGCCCGTGGTCCAATGTTTTAAGTATTACAGCCTCAGCTAGGGTAGTTTGGCATGTATATTTAGGCAGCCCCCTAAATGCTTGATTTAGATACATTCAGTCTGTTTTTGCAACCCAGCTTTATCAACCACTTTACAAACAGATATATTGCGTGCTATGAATAATGTAGAGATTACATGTAAGAAAAATTCAGTGGGAGAATACCCTTGACTTGCACTACACTCTACTTACAATTTTATGTCATATGTTGTCACCAGCATAAATTTTCCTATTTATTACTTGTCAATAACAATTAAGCACTCTTATGCTAAATCGAAATATCAAAGAAAAGAGAATGGTCAGAGTCAAGTTTAGAGATCATGGCGTTGCTTTATGACTTGGTGAAGAATGTGTTACTTTTGTTCCATTTCATTTTATAAGTTAACAGAATAGAATACACTCTTCTGATGTCCATCATTGTCAACCTAATGCATCTTTCTTCTTCTAAGTTGGTCAGTTGCAAGACATTGAATCTCAGCCTGCTGCTTTTTTTTTTGTTTCTTTTTTTAATTTCCCTGAGGGTGGGGAGAAAGGGGGAGATGTGAGTTTAAAAAGTTTTCTCTGTTATCTAACATAAGAATCCTCTAGACCTGCTGCCCAAATCTACTCTTTATTTATTTATTTATTTTTTTGTCTCGAAGGGTAGTACAAAGGGCTATAGAATTCTCACGGACAAGTTCCATCATGTTTCCACTGCTTTTCTGGAGCTTGGAAGCAGGTTTTTCCTTAACAAAATATTATTACTTCTGTGATGGTGTCAAATTTGAATTTGATCATTTACTTAACGATTTAAGCATGCATCTAAATAGAATTTCCCTTTCATATTTTGTCGAGCTTACACTTAACATCCATAATTACTGCTGAGTTGCTCAAGCAATTTGATTGTCAAGCATTGATCTTTATAATGTCATATGATCTTTGAAATAAAAATATGCTTAGACTACTAAATAGGTTTTAAGTGCAAGAGTTTGGATGTTCTATGTGATTTTTGACAGAAGTTGAAAAATGCGTCTCCCTGTAAATGTTGCAAAAAGTTTCCTTGGTCACAAAATGCACAGAAGGCAACACAAATCTTCACAAAAATGCCTATTTGAGGTGAAAGCAGAAGAGAAGGATTTTCAATTTTCTTCTCTCTTCTTTATCCAAGTCTTGCTAAAAGACCTCTGGACATTCACAACTGACTAGGCAGATTTTATCACTCTATTTCCTAATTATTTTTATATGATTATGAATTTAGATGATGGATATATGTATTCAGTGCAATTTGAGTATCTAAGGTAAATATATTGCTTTTTGTTTATTGCCTCATGCCATAACTTTGTGCTGCCATTTGACAACGAAAACTTCATATTCATGTCAGCATTTAAATGTAAGTATATTTTGGCAGATATAAGCATTACTCATCATGTAAAATTAACTTGCAAAGTACATCAGAAGTGAAACCATAGTTCATTAAAAAAATTGTATTTATCATTTTTAATTTATTGCTGAAGTTATTCATCTGTGTACGCCACTGAAGTCTCCTTTTCTGCAGTTATCTGGAAGTAATTGAGGATGTTACCATGATGGTGGGTTCTGGGATGGAAAAATTTATTTGCAAGTAGGTATTTTAAAAAAAATCATGCCTGAGGTGGTTCATCAATGCACTGGTTGTCATCAAATAGTATAATACATCTAAGATAATTCCCAGCAGTACATAGTTCAGTTGTTTCAGCTCCCTTATAATTATTTACTAATCCACATCGTAATATATAATTGATAGATTTAAAATGGTTGGTCGGTAATTTTCTAGTATTTTAACATAACTTTGTTTAAGATATATCAAGTTGCGGGAATAGTGACACACCTTCCTTGTCATTCCAGATAGAAACAATTGATGATTATGATGAATATTGTCACTATGTAGCTGGACCTGTTGGATTAAGGTTGTCAAAGCTATTCCATGCTTCTGAAATAAAAGATTTGCTGCCTTGTACTTTCTTCCACACAACATCCGTATTTCTTCAGGTACTGGTTCCATTATGTGTAGTTTAGTAACCGGTACCAGTGCCATCTTTGCAAGCTTGCATGTTAAAAGTAGTAAGGGTCAGTCTCGTTCCTTTGAAATGAAAAAAATTGCAGAAAGCAGACATTATCTATGACTATCTGGAAGATACCTATCAAAAAAAACTATCTGGAAGATATCAATGAGAAACCAGAGTCACGGATGTTTTGGCCTTGCCAGATATGGAGTAAGTATGTTGATAGACTTGAGGTACTTCTATGTTCCAAGCTCATTTTAAGCCCTTGTTTGAAGTTTGAAAATGAATTTTCCCCTCTCATTCTCCCAAAAAGATCATTTTCCTGTTTCCCCATATCTTTTCCCTACTTTNTGCCTGAATGACATGGTTACAAATGCGTTGAAACATGCAGAAGATTGCGTAAAGGATATTTCTGCTGTGCAGGATCCTGTCATCTTCCGCGGTTGCGCAGTAGTACAGGTAGATTTGTTTTTATACTGATTTCAGATATTTTAAACCTTTCTCAATGAAGATTCTTGTTTACACATTTTATTCAGAAAGCATTCCCAATATGATAATGGGTATCGTGAGAGATAAAATGAACCGAGTTTTAGTCTATATCAAGTTCTTGCCATGGGTTGTATCGTTTTATGTGCCTTCATTAGTGCCTAAGGACCGTGTACTGATAGCAAGTACAAGGAAAAGCAGGATCGTTTCCAGACCATAATGAATCGATTTTTAGTTTATTGTTACCATTGTTTGAGTAGATGTAGGAGTTATAGTTATGGGGGAGATTGCATCTGGCTACAATTATTCTTGGAAGCTCTCAGCTACTGAGCATTTTGTGCAGCAAAAGAGAATATCAAAAGAAGCGACGCATTTTATATGCTTCATCAGATAGGACTATAAACAAGATAGCATGCTTCTCTGGAATGGAGGAAATTTTAGAACATGTCAAATTTCATTTCAGCACCGGTTCTGCATAATATTTGTCACCTGGTCCAGAACTGGTGCTAATCACTCATCAAATTTTTTGCATCTGATTTGGTTAATACCAGTTCATAGTAATTGGGGCATTAGCTGTGTGCTACAACAACATTCAAGTCTTTAGAGGTGTCGAGACATTGGCACATGGTAAGATGAATAATTCTTCACGTGCTCTTCTATGTAGAATATTTCATTTTGATTTGACACCATGTGGTTCTCTCTCTTTTCCTCATGCATTCATTAAGAATGAGTTCTTTTATTATGATGTGCCTCGTATCCAGTAACTGATAAAATATAAAGACAATACAAACTCTTAACTGCTCTGTAATTGTTAATGACCCTGTGTTTCTGGAGTTCTAAACTTTCTCAGGAGTTCTAAACTTTTTCTCATGCATTCATTCGTTAAGAAATCGAGTTTTTTAATTATGAAGTGCCTTGTATCCAGTAGCTGATAAAATATAAAGACAATACAAACTTTAACTGCTCTGTAATTGTTAATAAGCCTGTGTACCCTTTCAAGAATTCTAAGCTTTTTATATGTGATCGTCACTGGACCTCGGATAGTGAAATTATTGGCAATTAATCTTTTTTGAAACATCTTCTAATTCAGAGTGTATCATGCCTTTAATAATATACAGCGAAAAAGGTTATCTTTATCCAAAATCAGGGTTTGCACTTGCACATAAATGTGGTTCTTGCTAATGATGTGAAAAACTAACTGAACTACAAATAGGAATACTGTCCCCCCCACCCCCACCCATGCAATTTGAGGTTTTGTACCTGGCATGTAGCATTGACTATTTTGCACTCTGTTTCTTTTTATGTTAACTTGTAATGGGCCTTAATAATGAATTCCGATTTTGCGGTCTCTTAAACCTAGGTCTTACTACTAAAGTTGTCGATGGAACCAAAACAATCTCAGATTTCTATCGTACTTTTTACGATTTCACTTGCATGCTGAAATCTAAGGTATGATGCTTCATTATTTATTTTGTTTTAACACTCCTTTTAGGGAAGCACCTGAAGTCTGCCCACATTTGAACTAGTGCACACATGTTCCCAACCAATTTTCGTTGCATTTAAATCCCCAACCTTTTCATTTTTTTAACCCTTGAGTTCCAAACCATTTTTTGTTTCATGTAGATCCCCATCCTTTCATTTTTGTCGCACTTGGGTTCCCGTAGGCAGATCCCCAGTCATAGTTAATTTCACATTGTATTGTTTGCAGCGACTTCTCTGCACTCGGATATTCAGAAGTAGTTTCTTTGAAGTCTCATTGTTATATTTCTTCTTTATGTAGATTGATGACAATGATCCCAATGCTACAAAAACGAAGGACAGAGTAGAAGCAATCTTGAAAACTTTGCAGGGTTGCCAGAACATTTTAACGGGAGGCAGGCCGGCCCTGAGGAGAGGCCGATAACGCCCGCGCCTCAGGCCCAAAACTAGAGGGGGCCTCATTTT